GAACGAGGACAAAGCTGGGAGGGGAGGGGCTCCTGAGATGGGGGGGTGCGAGGACTGAGGAGGACAGGTGGCGTGAGACAGAAGAAAAGTAAGGAGATACAGCTGGGAAACAAATGCACAGGTATAGAAGTGAGCAGATGGTGACAGCATGTCAAATAGAGGAAAGCTGACAAAGGAAGAACAGTGTCCAGCCAAAAGAAAATGATTCTTATTAAATAAGATACAAATGAACACTGACAGTATAAAAACTTTTTAATATATAGTTGTTTTCCCACTTTTATCTTTGCTGCACGTCTTGCCGATGTGGCTGTGTTTATGTTAAATTATATTGTACTCATTAATTTATGCATATTTCATATCCGTTGTATATGATCAATATGAAATGGAGGGATAGAGCGGGATAGAGTTAAGCCCCCCTCTACCTTCTGGAAATAAATAGAAGATTTTCTAAAATAAGGCGCAGATGAGCCAAAAAAGTTGAAGAAAACCCTGAATAAAAGCAGACTGATACTGATTCTGGACTGACATATCAGTGCTCTCCACCACCGGCATCAAACTGATGAGGAAATATCTGCTGGAACAATGGTGTTCATCCCTCCAGCAGAGTTCAGAGAGGAGGATTTACTGAGGCTGTTATAGTGCATGCTATATTACATCTACCCTTACAGTATGCTTAACCAGTTGAAAACATCAATAAAAACTATTGCAATCACTTTAGATGATGCTTTGGAAGTGTCTGTCCTCACTGGTTTTCAAATGAATATGTAGAGCAGTCCAGTAGATCTGTAACACAGTACATGCAACGTGACATCTGATGTTTGTCAAGTAGCATCAAACAAGTGTTCATTCAACTTGATGATAATATTTGAGGCCATAGTTTGTTTCCAGAGAAAACGGCTTTATCTACAGCAACAGTGATGATAACAGCTTCAGGGTGCAGGTTCAGAAACAGCCTGATAGATTGATAGGCTAGTCACAGACCTGTGTAGTTAAGGCTCAAGAGGAAGTAAATGTGATGTGATGTCAAAAGCGTTTAGACACACTTCAAATACAGGATTAAAAAAAAAAAAAAAAAAAAAAATTCTATAACTCTTTTACTTCTACATTAAAATTTATTTGCAGAGGTTTACCATGAGGGAGAACTGACATGACACATTAATGTTTCCTCTCTTTGTCAGGAGACAAAGTCCAACAGTCGCAGGAGAAGTTCAAACAAACGTTCTGTATATCACTAACTGTTACCTCTACATACTTCACACACTGCATCCCACTGTACTGCGTCTGCACCACAACGACTTAGAAAACAACTCCAGAGAAATAAGGAGGGACTGAGGATTCACCCATCCTCCCTTCCTATTCCAACCCTCTCTGTAACAAGGAGGGCTGGTGTATATGACTTTAAATCAATATCACAATTATTTACCTTGATAACAATTAATTAACGATCACTATGGAGCTTGTTGGTCTTTCTTTTTTTTTGAGTCATGCACTCTTCACATTCGGCAATGTGATTGTGTTCCAAGTGACAAACAATCTGTTGGCATTTGACTTCTTTTTGTTTGGTGTCGTTTCCACTGAAGCCAGAATGACCAAACGACGGACGTGGCTTCTCTTTAGCTAGAAGCTGCTCAGATTGAGGCTCGGTGTTTGTGCTCCTGACGTCCACATCACCAGCTTTACTTTGAGTGAACAGGGACTAACGTCAGTCGTACACTGCGGAGACTTGTGACTGAACATGAGGTTCCCTTCTTTTGAGCAGGGTCCATTCGGTGAGAGATTCTAAATGTGGGTTCTGATACCTTTCCGGTTCATTGCCAGGCCCTATTTGTAAGACTAGTGTGTGCCAACACACTATTTTTTATTGCTAATCAATTGAAAACAGAGAACATTTATTAACATGGCATCTGAAAATGTTTGTGGCTCTTTGGGCTTTTCTTAAAGACCCTCTGATGAAAATCCAGTGCTTAACCTCGTTAACATCCATATGATGTTTTTATATAATCCAGGACATATGATGAGAGAAATCATCAACACCATGACTGAGTGTCTCCTCTTTGAACTGCAGTGAACCAATGACAGTCTCATAAACACAGATTCAGACAGCCAGGGTTTCATACGTCACAAACCTCAGGAACCAATCCTGTCAACTTGTGGGGACAGGGGGCGGGGCTAAATAAACCTGAAACCTTGTCAGTACAGAGAGAGAGAGAGAGAGAGAGAGAGAGAGAGAGAGAGTTAGCAGGGGCTCAAGGCCTGATCCACATTTCTCAATCAGGGAGTAATAGCATCAGCCAGACAGCAGACAGCAGAGTATTTTTACAGACTTTAAAACATGTCTTGAGAGAAACTTTAAGTGAGTTTCATCTATTTCAATGTGCATTTACAATTTATATTGTGATATATATTTACATACTGAACTAGAATCATTAAAATACATAAATGTTGCAGGTTTTACTATAAACTATAAAAAGGTCAGACTGACTGTGGCTGTACAGGACGGCCTCCAGGTGGGAAACTGTGCAGCTGAATGTTTTTCTTTTACCCCTTTACCTCTTTTTGGATTTAAATGATAATAGTTGTCTTTACTACATGCAAACAGTGCTCTTTAACATGAAATATTATTCTTGTTGTCAAATAAAAGGGATGTGACGGGAGTTTACACTTTACATCCACTCTAATCCACTGTAGGAATGCAGTGTGATGGCTCAAGCTTTAGCCGAGCAGCGGGAGATGAGCAGATTTCTCCTCTCCAGCAGGAGGATAGCCCTGACCCCTGCTGACCCGCAAGGGAGGGAGGCATAGAGGGATGGAGGGATGGATAGAGGAGGGGGAGGATGTGGAGTGACAGGGGGAGAAACACAGGAGGAATGTGAGATTACAGCCACTATCTGCAGTAGATACTGAAGGTCCGTCTCCTCAGTCCTTCAGTCCACAGATAGGAGGGAAGGAGGAGGGGGGGCAGAAAATGAGGAAGAAGAGAGAAAATGGGTATTAAGAGTCAGAACGGGATGCTTTCCATATGAATGCAAAGCCCTCAAAAGAACGAAAATGGACTTTACAGTTTAGAGGAGGAAGAGGACGGTATGGGCTGCGGAAGGGAGGGGAAGAACAAAAGGTGATTGGTGAGTGAGTTTGTGTGCGATTGAGTGCTCGTGTGCACACATGCGCGCGCACACACACACACACGCGCGCGCACACACACATCTATCTGTACACTCAGAACCTCACTGATAATAAACGAAATCTTAGAAATGAGAGCCTATCAAGCAGGAATCAATCACTGGGGTTTGTTGTCCAGGAGGATGGCGCCATGTGAAGATAAAAGGCAGGCGGACGTCTGGGGAGGGCTGGGAGGAGAGGAGGAGAAGAGGGGAGAGTATGGAACAGGAGAGGAGAGGAGAGGACTGATGGGGAAAGGCCTGATTGTGTCGTATAAACTCCATCAGGCTTTATTTGAACTGGGTGGAGTTTTCGTTAACCGGATATGAGCTGGTTTGGACCCAGATGTGGACTTGTTAAACTGGACTGAGCTGGATTATTATTCATTTAGCTCAGTTTTTGGCACCTTGAGCCAAAAAACATGAAAAATAACCTGAAATAAGACGAGGAAGCCAGGTAAAGCAAGGTGGTCACTTACAAAAATTAAGCAGGAATGTGTGTGTGTGAATGACCCAGCATGTGAGTGTGAATGACCCAGCATGTGAGTGTGTGAGTGTGTGTGTGTGTGTGTTTGTGCTGCGTGCCAGGAAGCCTCTCCCAGCATCAGTATCATATGATTAGATGGACTTGCACATGATGCACGAACCCAGCCTCTGATAGGGCTCCATCCGGTCCCACACACTGTTCCCAAGGAACACACACACATAAAGACACACACAGCTGTTTTCATTCCCAACCACTGTCCAACACTCATGTGTGATAAGGTGTTTATTCATTGTCTCTCTTTGTTAACTGACCATCCGACCTCTGACCTTTGGCCTTTACAAAATGAAAACACTTCAGTTAAACAACATGACTTGCTCTCGCCTCAGTGTTACAATATATAAGAAGATTTACTATTATAAAGCCTCTTTACTATAAAGTTTGACAGGCCAGACATTGACTTCAGGGCTGCATGTCACCATTATATTCACTGTCCAAAATCTTCAATATGTTTTTTGATTCATTGATTATTTAAAAAAAAAAAAAAAAAGATTCCTGTCAAATTAATTGCCAAAAAGCTAATATTTGTTCTGTTATAATATGGAGCAGTCAGAAACAGGGCTGCATTTAACAAATACTTTCATTATCAATTAATCTGCCAACTATTTTTCAAATCAAATAAATTATTTTGCACATAAAATACCAATAAATTCCCCAGAGCCCAGGAAGACATGTCCAGGTTCCTTCTTTTGTCAACCAACAGAAAACCCAAAGATATTCAATGTACAATGATATAAAATAGCGAAACCAGTAAATCATCACATTTGAGAAGCCCGAAGAAAATGTTTGATATTTTGTTTTAATAAATTGTTGCTTAATTTTCAGCTGCTTGACTTATTGAACTCCCGTCCAGAGCAAGATAATATCTTAACATATTTTGTGCAATTTGTGATGTTATTTTTATTTGTTTTTTTAATAAAGAACAAGTCAATAATTGATCATAAGAATAAATTCTGATCAATTAATTTTCAAACAATTAATCAAAACATGGCTCTAGTTTTAATAAAACTAACTTAATCTAGACCATATAGATCAGCATCACACATGGACAGACTACACATTCTATAGTTTGTGCTGGCTGCTGTGATACTGAGTTTGAGCCTTCATGACAACTGCTAGATTTTCATCTCTCGATTTTTTGCAACAGGTATTTTTTTAATCACGTTTTTGATGCACTGATGTGACTGTGCATCATTTGGGTTTAAGAGCTCCTCTATGAGAATAAATCAACAGTTACAATAACTGTAACTGAATCTTTGGCAGTTGTTATTGGACAGTGATCGCATCAGAATTCTTACCTCTGTCTCCTGATCATCTGTGCTGCCCTCTGATTGGAGGATTCCTGGGTAAGGTCCCCACGTTGTGTCTGGGTGGAGGTCTCTGCCGGCCACCACCCTGCTGTCGCTGCCTTCGTCACTTAACTCCAGGTCATCTGTGAGGGGGGAGGAGAGGAGAGAGGAGCAGTCTCCATTAGGGAGGCTGAAATGAGCCAGATTGCACAAATGTATCAACATGTTAATGTGCCGCAGTGATAATGACCTTATCATTAAACAGCTGCTATCATCCAGGCATTGATAAATATGATGAAGAAACTGTTTCGAAAGTTAGCCTTCATATCTCGTAAGTTTTCATTTCACTTTTACTGATCAGATTTTGCTAGAAAAACTTTGATGAGTAGTTTAGATTTGTATTAAACATATAAAGATAGTGAAGATTGGTAGAAACACGTATCTAAATATCAGCTTCAGCCTTCAAAAAGTCCAACTGGCCCACAACATTCAGCAGAGACCATGTGACCAGGCTAAAAAACATTTCAAAAACAATCAGCAGAAGCATCATGTGGCTTGAACTTGACCTGAACCCTCGCAGCAGCACAGGCCGTGGAGTGAGAGCTATCAGACGGCCAACAGCAGGGGGAGTTTGATACAAGCTGAGCACTGACTGGTTCAAACAGGGAAACTTCTTGTGTACTTCCTCAAAGTGATAACTGCATAAGGATGGCAGTGACGGCGGCTGTGGTCTGAGCCTGCTGCAGCCCAGATAGAGCCAGATAGCCAGGAGGCACGGAGAGGACTGATCCATTTATTTAAAAACTTAAGACAGCTCGGAGTGCAGGAGGAGCAGCTGGTCTGCAGTTTAGAGAAGTTTCTGCAAATCTGAGGAGCAGCGCTAATGAGCGTTGCAGAAGGAAACTCCATCGACTGACTGACTGACTGACTAATGGGATTAATGTCAACTGCTTCAGTGACACGAGCGGCCTCAGGGTCTGCCTCTGGAAAAGCTTTACGTGTTATGACCAACTACCTCTCACTTTGATCAAAACATACAAAAATCTCACCTCCTCTCCTCCCACTCCCCACCCCTTCTCATCTTGTCCACGGTTCAGGCAACTGTTTCGGGGGGTCGGTCTAAAGTGGCGGGCCTGATAAGAGTGTTTGTCTAACACTCTCCATGTCAAAACACTCATCTATCTTCTCTGTATCTATCCCCACCAGAGAACAACGGACAGACGCTGATAAAATGGCTTTCCCACAGCCGGTGGGGGGGATGGGGTTTGGGGAGGTGGGGCTGCATCATGGTGGGGTGGCGGGTTGCGGGTGGGGCAAATGGTTGCGTCTGTGGTGTCGTGATGGGGCTGGGGAGGGGGTTACGGCGGGCTGGAGGGAGCAGGAAGGAGTGTGGTTTGAGGGAAGAAAGTCAGAGGAATGGTGGTGAAGGGAGGTGAGAGGCAGACCTTAATTTAAAAAAAAAAAAAAATCGAGCGGTTGAAAATATTGTTTCGCTGTTGCGGCACATTCACACAGGAAGTGGCATGTTCACACTCTGCTCAGTATAATGAATAACACACAGGTCACACAGTGATCATGTTTTATAGAAACAGCTGACCTGATAGTTTCTGTTTAATTAGGATCAACACTGAAGTATGTACACTCAGAAAAACAGGTGCCGGCACACCTTGTCTGCCAGTCCTGGGGTATGTCGCACTGTAAGCAGCCCCAGGTTTTCATTCTCTTGCCCCGGTGCACATGAGAGCGTGACACTGAAGCCAGGTGCAATGTGAGCTGAGCCGACCTATTGTTGTCTCAGGTTGGGCTGAATTTTTAATTGAATGGTTTTGGGTGGAGTTTGATTTCACAAATAAAAACTCATTGCACTTTTATTGCTAAAACACACACACAGTTAAAAAAAAAGGTTGTTGTTGTTTAGGTTGTCGGGGTCCGGCATCCTAACACATGATCGCTGTCAAGATTCTGTTGGTGTCACATTTCAGTCCGAGGTCAAGCATCAGCCCAAACGTGATTCCTCAGACAGTCTAACCTGCTGGCTGCAGAGTCTGAAGTCCAGCGTCTGACCAACCAGTATCCAATCTCCTATCGCCCTATGGGGCCCCAGTTTGGCCACTATGACCTTCCTTATCTCTCCACTCCATCAATGTCCAGTCTGCCTCCGTGCCATTGGCTAAGCTTCACCACGCGGGACTCTTATCAGCCTGACCAGCTCCATTGACCCTCATTGTGAAACAGTGCGAGGATTTGACCTCAGAGATCCTTTCATGACTTGTTGCATCAGATGTACAACTTCAGGTGAATCAAATGGGTCCTTTGTTGTTGCGGCATGGTCGACCTGAGTATACAAATTGTTTTCATGGAGTCTTCTGAAGTGTTTGATACATAAACAGGCCTAACAGTAAAACCCCTTCATTATAGTTAATGAGCCAAGTTTCAAGTGCATTTCTGAAAATGCTTCTATCAGTTAACATAAACATGACGAAATTACATTTTGAGCCCTAGAACTAAAAGTCATGGCATTTTAGTGACTGCCTCCCGACTACTGTAAGATGCTGGGGCTTGTTTGCATCGACCATCACAACAGAGAAGTGGCCCAGTCTGGACTGGAACTGGTGACACTGTGGTCATGTAATGCACTGTTCTTTATATTCTTTAAATTCTGGTCTTGGTAATGGAGTAAAGGTATTTAATGGTGAGTGGCAGCATGACAAATATGCTTAGATGATGTATTCAATTAAAGTCTATTTCTTATTTCTTTCTTTGCTATGACAACTTTTCCTACTAAGCCATGCCTTTAAACCCTTTCTTTGCACTATTTCTGTTTATTTTTCTTACTTTTAGTTTTTCCACTTTTGGAAACACACCTAATAAGTTAAAGAGAAGAAAGTGTGTGAACTTAATGCATGGTGCGCATAATGAAATGTACAGTGTTGGATGTGATCCAGATCAATACCAGTCCAAATCAAAGTTACTTTTACTCTGATTAGATGATAAAGCTGGACTTACATGCCCTTTGACATGAGCAGACAAATGGGGGAATTGGATACTGTCAATGTGTCATTAAAACTGACAAGTTATCCTGTCAATTTGTGTTTGTGAGAAAAAATATTCCACATTCCAGATTTACAGTATACAAGTGCATCAGGTCATGTGTTGCACTCCTCTGTCACTCAGATTATAATGACACAAAACCAGCTGAGAAATAATGTAGGGAAGCGTTCAACACCAACGACAGTCAGCTCATAGATAAAGGAGGATCTGTCTGCTACCTTTGTAAAACTCACCTGCCTGCCAACTGTAACGTTACCACGACAACAAATCTGAAGTCACCACTGAGTCATAGATCAGGAATAGGCTATATGTGTGTTAATACTGTGTCTCAACAACTCTTAGATGTGGTGTAATGACATCTTGTGCAGACATTCATGGTGCCCTGAGGTGAATCTGATTCCCTCACTTTTCATCTATTAGTTCAAATTTTATATTAGTCTTCAACTGAAATATTAGACACATAGTCTAATAATAATAATAATAATGATAATAATAATAATTTGTTTCATGACAAAAATAAATAAATACTACTAAAAAATATTCCAACCTCAGATGTGCTTTGGATTTATTGCTAATTGGCATATTAGCATGCTAACTCTAAACTAACTCAGTGAACATGGTAAACCTACTTGCTCAGTGTGTCATTATAAGCATGTTAGCGTGCTAACATTAGCATTAAGGTCAAGGTACCACTGTGCAACAGCTGCACAGAGCTGCTAGCATGACTGCAGACTCTTTTTTTTTACATTATCAAGCTTAATTATCTCCACAGTAATGTTATTATTACTGATGATCTGATTAAGAAATATAAGAAATGTACATTTATGCAAGTGATCAAGTGAAACTGGTTCATTATGGGCAGCATCAGTAACTGTGGAGTAAGTAGCTGTCAGGGAGCTGTTTAATAAAACACTGCCTTCTCATATTGGTGGAGAGAAAATGCTATCAGTGCACCTCTGCTAATGAGTACAGTTTGCTAATCCCAGCAGGTTAACTGTGTTCGCTGGGGTAACATGAGGCCTCCAACAATCCTAATCCCTGTTAATTACCCCTCCTGCCCACCACAGACCTGCATAATAACCCAGTGCTCCTTATCAATATGGCTGCACTGGCTGCTGCTACTACCATTACTGCACTGTATGATACCACCCCCATCACACACACACACACACACACACACACACACACACACACATCATTCTTTCTGTCATTCCAAAGAACACAAGGCTGGATGGGCTTGTTATCAATATCAACCAGCTCCACAGTATCCACACAGCCTCACTGATTTAGCTCTGACACTGACACACACACACACACACACACACACACACACACACACACACACACACACACAACCTTGCAATGACTGCTTTTACATGCACTTAAGGAACCAGGTTACAGTCAGCTTTCTGCAGTAAGATGATTTATCATTATGTGGTGTAAACAGTCAAGAAACCTTGTTTCCTTAATCAGGGGGAGGGATTAAATGAACCTGATTACCACAGGTAGATTTCTGATCAACCACAGGGGAAAGTAGTGGAGTGGCTGGATGGAAGAGGAAGGAGAGATTGATACATGCTCATATTTTTTTTTTAAAAAGTCACAAAAAGGCCTGTAGAAGTCTGAATAAGTGGGTTTCCACCACTGAACATTTGAGCATTTTGTTTGCTGTGACAGTAGCTGCATTTTCCATCACTATACAGTTAAAATCAACGAGCCAGAGGTAGAGGAAAAATCTGATGACTGATCTGCTGCACGTCTACGTGGATTTACAGTAACCAAGTTACTACAGTGCACGTAAACACATTCCCCAGTTACCTGCGTCAGCTACGTGCACTGAATCTCTCTCTCTTTCTCTCTCACACACACACAGGTCCTCGAGACGACACGTTGACACATTGCAGCCAAACACACACTGCGCTCACACACATCATCACACCGATATACACACCCTGTCACCGGCTACACACACATATACACAGACACAAAAGCTTATCAATACGGACGCTTCAGCAGCCACTGGGGCGTCCAGGCCTCTTTGATGAGCCAACACAATAAAACAATCAGTCTGTCATTAATGAAATGACTAACG